TCATAGCTTGATGTTGGTGCCTAAGCAACGAGGATTGTTAAAGCCGGCATAGAACCAAGTCGTTTCAACCGTAATCGTCCGATACGGGTTGTAAGTTGTTCGAACGATTCAATGTTCACAGTCAAATTTGAATTGACGAAGACGCCAACGCCGCCGACACCTATGATATCGCATGTTCCAAGGAACAATTCTTCTCCGCCGGCAAAAACAGCGTGAAAAGGATGACGCCTTCTCGTCTCAGCCAGGCCAATGACGTCGTACCTTATTCTTCTTGCTTGAATCGATAGATCTTCTACAGCGGATTCGTGAGCAAGGGTTCTTGCACTGTAGGTACGGATTGTCATTTTAGTCCGTTTCGATCTTGGCAGCCTAGTTTGGCCTTGATTTAGCAGCCTCTCCGTTAATCGTCCTATCTGGCACTGCCGCACCAGGGACTCTTTTGGGGTCAGGGGAATGAGGACCATATTTGTTACAGTTTTTGGCATTTTGATACCCAACGTACAGCTTGGCAGACTCTAAACGTGGAGGTTGGGTACTCACTAGTAGCTTGCCAGTCTCTCTCGGAAGAGCGGGAGGAGCTTATTTGTTGGAGGCGACTCCTAACCGCTTCCCATGTACTTCCTAGCCGCTTGATGGGGGCTTTTGACCGACTCGTAGAAATAGAGTTTCGTTAAGTCGGCGCTGCAGAGGCAGGGAGCTCATCCCCTGATTCCACCTGCGTCTCTAGGAAGCACACTGTCGCTTTTGGGTCCCGTTTATTCCCCTATCCACCACCTCGGGACGCGCCACGTGCCCTCGCGACTAACTTGGCGGGATCCCTCAAAGAAGGAGGTCCTACTTCATATATCAATTTTTAAAGAAATGAGAAAGCAGAAAAAGAGACGTGGCTGTTTCGGTCGATGAAGGAGTGCCGACATAAATCATATACGATTCGTAAAGCTTATGCGAAGAATCTATTCCTTGCTCCAAGTGTTCATCACGGTAAATGCAGGGTTAACCTATCCTGTGTGAGCCACTTTCCTCTTTTAGCTCAAAACTGTCACGTCTCACTGCCCGTTCATTTCTAACGATGTAATCTCTGCTGTAGTTGACAACGTCAACCCCACTCGGGTACACAATTATTTTAAAGCCTTTTTTTGTTAGATTAAGTTTTTCCCTTGCACTTAGTATAAGCATTCAAGAGCTTAGATCTCAGCGATTTTGGCGATTTGCTTCGATTCTGAAATGGCCTTCTTATTACGATGTAGCAGCAAAAATAAAATGAAACTTCACGTTCGTTTAGCTTATTCGCTCGGCTAATGTCTTTGGCTGGATTTTTGTTTCACTCTCAGCATCCGTTAAATAACTTAAACTTCGGCTGATCTATATCTGAAAATAATATTCAAAAATGTCTCCATACAGCACTGTAAGAGCGAGAAGAGTATGATGTTCCACGTCCGAAGTGTCCGCCCATCGCTTGAGCTTCATAATGCATTCTTCATGCTTCATAACGGCAAAACGAATCGAAACTAAAAGCAAGTGCTATAGAACGTCGGAACAAACGCTTATTCAGGGTGTAACATGAAACCTGAAGTTTTTTCAGAATAAAAGATTCGCGCAGCAATTTCATCCCCCGCCGTGAAAGGGCGTGATTTTCGATATCTATGAAGGAATTTTTTTTATTTCGGAAATTTTTGGATTTCCCTTGATATTGTGATACTTCGCGATTTTCACTGCCCGATCAGATTCTTTTTGTGCGCGTTTCTCTGAGCATGAAACATAATATGTTTTTCTCTCACCAAAACCATTCCAAAAGTCGAACCCAATTCAGAATCATAGTCATTCAAGAAACAGTTAAAAAGTCATCCGCAAACAGTAGCCAAGCAAAAAAAAGGTGCCCGAAGGTGAAACATAATCTTACTACTCCTCCTGAAACAGAATAAAAGGCTTCTTCAAAATCCAAACGCAATATTGAAATCGTCAAGATTTGAGCTAACAATTGCCTACTGAAACTCTGAAGTGATAATGGTCTCGGCGTGAGCGTGCTCAAAGGAAATCTGTGGTCGTTATTCATTTGAACACACCCGTTCTCCTTTATCGCAATTACTGTCTTACAAATAAAACTGTCCATTTGGAGGTATATCTCAACTTTCAGTTCTCCATTAAGGCTATAAAGTGTGTAGGAGAGTAGACTGTATCAGAAGGTACTACTTACATGCTCAAAATCTTTTGAATCGTTAGTTATTGTAAAATAGAGCAGTATAAAGCAAAAAAATTTTGTAGTCATCTTAGCGGTCCACAGTTCTTCAAGCTTACAGAACCGACTAATCCTCAATTCGAAACAGAATTGCTCGACTATGTACTTAGTCTCTGAACAGAGTTTTATAACGATGTCATTGAAAAAATCTGAAGACGAAGTAACGAAACCGTTTATTTTGGCAACAAATAGTGTAGTAATTGTTACTATATTAAAAACAGCACAAGCGACAAAAGGATAGCAGATTAGCATGGAGACAAACAGGATGGTGACTTATAAAGTCACATAATGCAATAATAATATAGGTGTTTAGCGTAGTTTCTGAATCTCCCAGAAAGTGCACTTCAAGAACAACTCTGGTTTAGGAAGTATGGTTCTTACAAAGGACTTCCATTTGTGTTATAGTTTGCTAGAGTGCCATACAAGGAACAAAAAGACTGTTCGCACGAAGAGGTAGCTATGAAGGCTTTTAATTACGAGATTAATTACGAGAAATGTTCATACAGGCACAAAATAAGTTCATGAGGTCATTTCACGAGAGTGATATAAAAATTTGCAGAAAAATTCAAACTTCTGAACTGATAAGCGATACGATGAAAGGCTAAATGTACTCAATAGTCAACGCAATTGGCATAGGAAACACGTGAAGAGATAGCGACTATTTGGAAGAATAGTTACTATACTCCCTACCCTGAGTAGATAGTGTCATGTTGTGCCTATAAAGTAAACAATTGCTTTCCACTACACAGAATAAGAAGGCAGAATAATAGTTTGTGCATGAGCAAAATATCATACAGTTACAAATGTATAAAGGTGAACGATTGCTCAAAATTCCAGTGCCTCAAACACTGCAATTCATTTCTTCCAATGGATCAGAATTTTCTGAAAAAGGAAGGAACGTTTAAGAATAGTGAGTATTCCAAAGTTCACACCTTTCTCTGGCGTGATTTTATTCCTTTTAGCTGTGGAAGTCCTGAGGTAGCAGAGGTCTTACAATCGCTGACTGTAGTGAATAGAAAGCTTTCGTGGATGTAAACATAGGCGCAATTATTTGAAAACTACCATGCTTTTCTTTTAAGTATTTCTTGAGAACACGCTGGAATTTCAACATGCCTGATATTCATTTTTGAGCCATGCATGTGGTCTGACATAGGCACGTTTTGTACTCGTAAGATACAGTCACTTCCTCGAGGATCTATCCTATTGCACTGCACTACACTGTATAAGTACTCATAACAGCCCACATGCACATGGCTTAAAAATAACTATCAGGCATATTCAAAAACTTATCGAAAAAACACTCAAACAGCTCAATTATTTTAGCTGACACGAAACCGAGTAAATTCTGCAACTGAACGTCTAACAAATCGACACCACCGCGCTCTGCTAACGGAAGACAGGCCTTGCGCCATCGAAAGTGGAAAGGTCGTAAAAAACAGACTACAGAAAGAGGTTCATCCACCATACTGCTCTGATTTCGATTCTATCGACCAAGCATCTGGACAAGTACCCATGGGAGGTATATTTCAGAAAATAGTAAGAAAGCGGATCAAAAATCTGTAGATTTCAATGGTTCCATCTCGATGAATAAACTCTTCTCTCTACTAAGATACACTACTTCAAAGATTATAAGGTGATTTTTGTATCAATTTTCAAAAACTCAATATTTCAATGAAGAACCATGTAACTCAAACCTACATTTAAATGGGTGTATTTAGCCGTCAAATCGCTGTTTCAGATGACTCTTGAAATGACCATAGGCGCTCAATCTCAAACCAACTCATGACAGGATAGTGGTGATTCTTAAAAGAGAAGACTCTGTGTGAGCTTTGGTCACATTTTCACATAGTGGGATTTTGTGATTGAACAGACCATCAGGATCTGTGAACTAAAATGAATTATGTGCATTCACTGCTACAAAATCATAGCAATAAGACTACTCATGGAATGCAATCCTCAACACTATGCTTTTATGCATAACCAAGCAAACGTTGATTTTTATGATATAACACAATGGATACAGTAATATTTTAATTTACAAGTGATATAAGTCACACATAAAAAACAAGGCGAAACAAAACCTGACTAAAAGTAGTACAAACCTCACTTTTTTGCAACTGTTCAAAATATCGTCACCATGTCCAATTTTTATTAATGTACGCAAGTTAGTGTTGCTCCCTCCAATTCACCAAACTTTTCCTGTCTTTTTTGCGGTGGGAGGTTTGACACTATCTTGCTGAAACAGCGCACTTTCGATGAAACCAATGTCGACTAGTTTATAAAGAAAGCGTCTCATAGCATTCGCAAAAAGCGCCAAAAACTTTCATACAGATTCCGTCCTAGAAGTTGGGTGTTCTCGTTGAAGTTGAATGTAAGGAAAGAAATTAGGTACAAGATTTGTTGAGATTTTGCACCATGTGTAATGTGCAGTAGTGTAAAAGAGTGCCGAAAACTCACAGAAACCATGGTGCCTGCACAAATTTCATCTCTCTCCAAAATCTCACAGAGCGAAGATTCTATCTGCGCGAAGGACCCCACTAGTTTTGCCCCATTTTGTATGCGAGCTGCATAAAAAGTAGTTATTGTAAGCGAGATGCGCCGAATTCATGAGCGTGTTCAAGTACATTTTTATCCCAAAGTACGAATAAAGTTAAACCTAGTGAAAATCAGGATATATATAGAAAATCTGGTTAAGAAGTGAGCAGCATTTTTCTTGAAAAGAATTGATAAATTCCTAAGAGAATTGAATGGTGAGCATAAACACGGCCTAAGGTGGGATTCGAACCCGCGTTTCATCGTGTCCGAGTACTCGAGCTCTACCACTGCACCACCGAGGTACATTTGCCCGATCACTCATTCTTCAACATCTCTTTGCTAGCTATCAGCCATCACCCTTTAACAGGTTTGGTCGGGTATGCGATTTTGCTTCATAAACCCAGTTGAGCTGACAGCCATTTAAATACTGATACTCGAAAGTTCTAGTATTTTTACGAGTTTTCGCAGCGTCATAGTATTTCATATATTTTTTAGAGAATTAAAAGGTAAGCAAAAAAAAAACGCAAAAACAATCGTTGCCACGCTTCAACTTCGAGTCTGCCCATGAAGAAATTAGCCAACTGTCTCATCAGTTCCGAGATTAATCAAAGTAAGTTCAAAACTTTTGAGAATACTTCAATTCGTCCGACTGACCTGTCCGACTTCGAAACGGCGATTAACACCATTCTTGTTTGTTACTCGATAGCTACGGGTGTCGATGGGTGCAGCGTCGCAGTTAGGTTGGGGCGACTGCCTGCATGGAAGGCGTAATTTTCACTGCGTTGTAGTTTCTCAATAGAATCCAGAGTTTTATCGTCTCTGGGAATATTAGGGTTGGCAAATAGTAGGATATGACAGAATAAACTTCACCAAGCTAACTGTATTTGGAAAGATAAAGAATCCATTTGAAATAGTAGATAGCTTGACTGAATTTTAGAGCACTTCCCAAGAGAAATCACTTAATTAAAGGCTCTTATTAATTCTCCGACTAATAGTGTACTTCAGAAGTTTTATCTCTTCTGAATTAAGTTCTCGCCGTACTCCGCTCTAGTTGAATGCTCTCAAGATGATTTCCTGTACTTTGTCCACTACAACTAACTTCAATGAAACCACCTGCAGCCGGCTGCTGTTGTCCATCACCATAGGAAAATAGAATCCACTTTTTTTTTTCTTGTCTTTTAGTTATCATTCGATTACTAATATCTAGGTAATGTCAATATTGCATTTGGATTTTGAAAGCGCCTTCCTAATGCTTGTAGCCGAGAAGATGAGACTACGTTTCACCTGCGGCGTGCTAAGGAAATGATCTATTTCATGCGTCATGATATGAGCACATTTGATTAATTGGACCATGCAATATTAAGCGCTACTAAATGCGGCCGAACAGCTAACGCACGATCACGTGCATGATGAGAACTGAAGTGGTACAAGCTTTCATACTCGGGTACGACATAAGGAGAGTACTTGTGCCTGTGTCTATAATCACATCATTTGTGACTTTGTTGGCGACTGTTATTGAAGAATGACTCGATCTTATTCAAGGAAATACCAACGCTTTCAGGATCATGGACTCACGGCCTCTTCATCTTTAATGGCAACGCTGGACGATCTTCTCCACCTTCTCTGCAACTACAACCCCCAGCGTGAAAACCATTGTCTTTCTCACTCTCTGGCACGCGTCCAAGGAAGAAGATTATTGGTTCTATTGCTTATCACGACGCTTCACTGCAGTTTTTTTTGGCACTATGTTTTGTTTTCACTACAATATGCTCGAATCACTGACACACCATACGACATCATATCTCACATAGTAACGCCGTAACATAGGCAATCAATGTATCTCGCTATTTATTTAACATCATGCAACCTATAATAATAAGTATCAGCAGTCTGCAACTTATAACAAAACAATATATTTACATATAGCATATCAAATGGTGATAAATAAATTACATGAATTGACCGGTTGTGTTTCGGTGTCACTATATGAGATGTGGTGTGATTTGGTGTGCCAGTAATTCGAGCATATTGTAGTGAAAACAAAAAGATAGGACCAAAAAACTACATTGATGGTGAGAGCCCTCGACACTTATACACGGTCAGTTTAGGCCGGCGAGATTCAACTGGTTAAGCTATCAACTAACCAAGAGAGGGTGGGGATCGCGCTTGATATCTCGCCCCTACACTCTTCAGTAGTTAGCAGCGACCTTCCTAAGGAACTCTATAGCCAAGCTGTTCTCAAGACTGCATGGACACGGGATCAAACTATATTCAGCGACATTCAAGAAAAGACGAAAAACTATCTGAATTTTACAACTACTGAGATCCTCACATGGAAAAAAGAAATATAATTGATTGTGAGACGGATCAAATAGAGTTAAACAACTGACCACCAAAAATTTGAGGGAAAGTCAAGCGAAGACGCCAACCCGCACCAGGAAAATCTTTCTAGAAACCAAGTAACGGTAAAATCTACGAAATCACCATAACTTTGGCAGACATTATTCTTCAATGATAAAGTCACCCTGTGTTTGGAAAATGATATACGCCGTCCGCAATGGATTAGAGATTGAAGGATAAAGCTCTTGGCGTTGACCAATTTTTGAGGGATGCGCCATGCACTACCTTCGAATTTTTTGCTTTGCTTTAAGTGATTTGATACATATCTGGCTCTTATAATGACTCGCGCCGGCTTATCGTTGAATCAAGTCACTAATGTTATCCTTTCAAACAAGTCTGAACCAACTCATCAACCTCGCAGGGTAGAAGGCTTGGTGAGCTTTGACCACGGGAACAAACAATCAATCTTATCTGCGGCGCGAAGCACCTCTAACTGCCACGCCCATGCGCTCCTCCGAAATGGATTAATCACTCAGAATTCCGCGAGTCATTGTAAAGGTCAAATATGTTCTAAGCCACCTCAAATAAGACCAAAAATTAGAGACGACTGCATGGCACATCTCACAGGGACTGATCAACGCCGCAAGCTTTCAGCTTCATGGAATTAAACGGCGGTTCTTTCCGGTTACAAATAAAAACCTATCTCATTCGCTGGATAGGAATATTCATAGGACCGATAGCAGTCCTTCAAAATCTTAAATTTTGCCCCACGTCGTCAACTTTCAAGAAAACCCTTTTATAATGCTGTCAGTCCAAGATAGAACTATGTCTTAAAAGCGCATGTTTTTCGCCGGACAGAGCTCCTTTCTTAGACTATTAGCAATCACTGGATAGCGTAGTGTTTGCTGATACCAACGCTGTGCTTAATTTCTGGAAAGACCGTTTCTCTGCAGGGAAAACAACACTGATTTACATGTTCTTGAAGGCAGTCTTTGGCAATTTAGCGGCTGCTGGATGAGGCAGCAATGAGGGTTACGCAATTATCGATCGGCTTACGACCGATTTTATCTTAGTACAACCTTTGTTATTCAGTTAGAGATTGTTTTTCCAAAAGAAGAATTCCAGATAAAAAGTATGACTTTGCCACAGGAAGGCTCTGAAAACTTTTATTTTGTCATGGATACGGTCAAAACAATCATCATTATCATCACTTTGATGGAAGTTAGGAGGCCAGAACGTCCTAAGCGGTCCCAGCAGTAACTTGAAGTTATTCAGATGCTACGAGAATTTTTCTAAACATCCATATGCTCGAAAATCGATCGACATCGTCGCAGCCGACCTCGCTGCCTCACCCGACGGCCAGTGAACTGGCCAAAGACCACCTTGCTTATGCCTGTGGATCAGTCTGATTTTCCCTGCTGCGCTGCAGAGAAACGGTACTTCCAGGATACAAGAATGGCTTTAAAGTTAGTAAGCATTGTGCTATTGAATCATTACTAATAGTCCAAAGAGATAGGGCTCGTTTCGGCAAGAGATATGCGCGTCTCTGACATGGTTTTATTTTGAATTTTGCAGAGAGATGAAAGGGTCATTTCGAAAACCAGCGACGTGGAGCTGTAGCCAGAAATCTAAACTTTTGAATGACTACTATCATTCTTAAGAAATATTCCTGCCCAGCTAATGAGGTCGAATATTCATTTGTCCCCTTATAACCAAGTGACTAAGCAAATGTATAGTAAAAATATAGAAAGGCAACAGATATGACTCGTACTTGATTCATATTAACGTCAGCACATTCAAACGCGATTCAAAGAAAAGAAAAGAAAGCATTTTCACTATACCGCAAATATGTAAATGTGAAGACTAGAGGAGACAAAGAGAATAGATGAAGTCTAAATGAGATAAAACGGAATGGAGATGTTTTCCACTGCTAATTTCGCAAAGACCGAAATTATTCCAATTTCTTCAAGGTGAAACAAACTGTATGAAATTGCCAAGCATTTGTCACATACCTCTCGCTCGGCAGGCCGCGCTCGAAGCCGCCGTAACGGATGAGCTCGGTGGCTCTTCGCTTGGTTTGTGCCCACTGCAACTGGGTATATTGAAACATCATACCGTCGCTAAAAACCGTTAATAAAAAGGAGTTCTATATGCCTATGTATGTGTACGTAAATATATATACATATATATGCACACGTATATACATTTACATATGCATATACACATGCACGTATGCGTGTACGTATATCTACATATGTGCATGTAAATATATACACATTTCAGTGTGTATGTGAATCTTTGCGTGTATGTGAATCAATTTCATTTTTCCTGATGCACTGCGCAGAAACGATCTTTGCGAATAATAGGCATAGCGTCAGAATCTTTATTTATTACGCTATCAAAAGCTATTAGTAGTCCAAAGAAAAAGCTCTGTCTTTAGAGGAAAACGCATGTGTGAAGCACAGATGTTTTCTTTTCGTTGAAGCGTTATAAGCAGACTTTTTCAAAAATCCCCCATGTACGACGCTAGCCAGAGATTAAGCTTTTAAATGATACTAACAATCTTATGAAATGGTCTTGTCCAGCAAAAGAGATTGGTAACGAATAAGCTTCTTGAAGATATTTTGCTTTACCGATCACTTTCTGTAAAGGATTTCAAAAGGAAAAACGCACATAAGAAAATGAGTGGTTTCATACGCCAAAAGGGGCAGGTTCAAACCATCTATCATGTCTCAATTTAGAGTCCAGTCACTAACATGTTCTGTCTTATACTTATAAAAAACATATAACATAGTATCCACTGATGATTCAACGACTAACGATTAATTAATATTCAAAGTTAGATCCATTATCGGTTGTGTAGGAGAACCAACGGATAGGACAGCATGGTTTTTGACTTCAATAACATCCCAGTTGCTAGGACACATTCTAGCCCATCTGATAAACAACCATAATAACACTG